CGATTCTTGAATCTATTCGAAGGAGAAACGTATACGAAAATTCTGCTCTGACAGAAAAGTTGCAAGTTGATTGGCTACTCGCATGGCTTTAACCAATAGACTTTCAACTTTTCTGTCAGAGCAGAGTTTTCGTATACGTTTCTCCTTCGAATAAATTCAAGAATCGAGCCCCGGGACACAGTTCTTGAATCGTGGACACAAGGCTTTACGCAAGTTACGCTCCATGTGAAGTCGCCCTCAGGTTTCTCTCTGCCTGCAACCAATAGCGGACGTTCTCCCGACTCTCCCTTGAGAGTCTCGAGCCAATCTCAGCCTTGTTGCGTCTATGACCGCATCGATTGTCACATTTCGCACAAGACTCGCACCAGCTCGCACGCGTTCACGATGGCTGCCCCGGCGAAAAAGCGTGAGATCCAGAAAAATCTGCACGAGGACGACGACAACAACGAGAAAAGCGTCTCGTCCAGCAGCGAAGAGGAGGAGTATGGGGTCGCGGACGAGGTGAGACATGGCTTACTTGTATCGACGATACTTGTTACAATTGAGAGGTTAACCGCCCAAGGCGAGCCACGCGGTCGCGCTCTTCTCGCGTAGTTATTTCTTTCGTTCCAATTCGCCCAAGAGCGCGATACATTTTTAACGTGCACGCGAAAATGGCTGTCGAGGCGGTCTCGTGCGGATGACAACGCCGTTCGATCGTTATTCTGGCATAAATATGTAGTTGCTGCTCGACAAGAGACGAAATATTATCAGTTCGATGTAATGTTCTTTAACAGCTGTTCTACAACGAGTTGTCGGTCGTTAATCAGAAGCTACGACTACGGCTGCGGTCTACTTGATGCTACAAATTACAAATTCTTTCGAGTTCAATTCCCCTTCCTGTTAATACAGAAAGATGAAGAAGACGAGCGCTTCGAAACATTTGCAGCCTCAAGCGGACCGCAGTCTGTACGTTCGGTCCTTCCTCTTTTGTCTAGAAAGACGAAGACCCAACATGTAGACCAGACTTTTGACTTACGACCAACGACCCGTTGTAGAACGGCTGTAATATTTACCGTATGAATACTGGGTCTCGAGCTGAGGAAAATGTATCTTAACAAAGATAAGGAAGCTACTTTAAAGCTTGCTTTAAATTGATTCTGCATTAATTTTTGGAAATATGTGCATCCATATCACGTGAGTGCATAATTACGTGTTACACCATTTTGTGCAAGAGATGCAACAGCAGTTTGGAATTAGCTTTTGTAGTTTTAAAGCAAATTGTTAAGAACGTAGTCGCAGCTTCACGAGGGAATTGTTTTACTTTTGCAACACGGAAAGGTTTAGCTTAAAAAATTAATAAAATGCGTAGGGCATTTTGTCGCTGTGTTCTCACCAAAGCAGAAAGCTGCGGTTATTTCAGACGGGACAATCTTCCATTTCTGTCTCGTTCAAATATCGCATACAATACATTTACGTTATTATCGCATCAGCGCGTATCTCTCAAACTAACCTAGCTAACCCAGAAAGATCAATTAATTCGTTTGAAAAATACTACACGTACGTTTACGTTTTATAAAACGAGAGTGGTATTAAGTAATAAATATGAACCTTAGGACATGGAGCTTCAAGTAGACTTTGAAGGTCGCAATCCACAAGATCCAGACTATCATGGAATTAAAACATTGCTGCAACAACTTTTCCTGAAGGCACACATCGACTTGGGTGGGCTCACAGATTTAATAATATCCCAAAATTACGTAGGATCTGTTGTTAAACAATCAGAAGAGGTAGAAGAGGAATCCGACGACGATGACAATGACATCAACGACGTATTTGGTATCACAACTGTTGTCAACGTCTCAGATAAGCAGGTAAATAAATTTGATAATGATATTATCAAATAAAAACACGTACTGTCGATCTCTGTCGATTCTATTAAACAAAAAACTTTTTTTTTAGAATATTTTATGTGTACAACAACTTAGAGATCTATTGAAGCAGTTGGCAGAGGAACACGCAACTGACGCAGTTAACACTATGATTAAAAATGTGTTGGAGAACGACTCGGCGCAGCTGGGTTTGCTCATTAATGAAAGATTCGTCAACATTCCCGCCAAGATTTCAGTGCCACTTCTTGAGAATCTAATTTCCGAGCTGAAACGTGCCAATAGCAAAAATATGCCGTTTAACTTTTCCTATTACATACTTATATGTAAATTATACAAGACCAAGAGTAAGAGAGTCGAGAGAATGACGTTGATGAAAATCGACCGTGGGCCACCAATATTATGGAGTAATCCGGAGGAGGAGTTCTTTGCGGAAGAGGCTATTGCTAGTTTCGAATTTTCCGTCAAGGAAGAAGCGGACAGTGGTTTATCCGGAACGTGGGATGAAACGGCCGAGCAGATGATACCTTACAGACGAGTTTTACTTATCGAAGCGTCCAAGCTGCAATCGATATTTGATAAAATACAAAGTCAGTTTTCTTAATTGGTTTCATGGCAATTATTATTTTCTTAAACCAGCGATACCAATGAATCCCGTGCAAAACTTTATATATCAGCAAAAATGTTTCTCAAAGAGGAGTTTCTTGTATATCCGCGCGTAACGTGAAGGTACGTTATATTAAGCTTTATAGAATATGCGACTTTTACACAATACTATTTCTATACTATGATATTTCTAACAATTTCGCCCACGCTTGGTTTCATTCTCTCGTCTTTATTTCTCTTAACGTGTAAGTTACAAAATGTGTTTATAAAATGACTGTTGATTTTGTGTTACACTTGGTCTTTTTACATATATATATATATAATATAAAAATTACTTTTACAATTGAATAAATAGATTTCGCGTAAATTTAGGTTGAGCAAGACAGATCTATAAGACAAACTGTACACGTAGAATAACAAGGACATATATTGTACTGTGAAGTAATGGCGATATATGATTTAGCCGATTATTTGTCAAACTTTTGTCGGAATTGCAAATTGTCAAACAATTTTCACTACTATGACGCTGTATCTGTAAACTTGAACGATTGTCTTATTGGCTTGGCTCTTCGTCTCATAGTACCAAGAATATTTAACATTTCCGAAACTGCTGGCGGTTTACTCTCCGCTTCTTGTCGCCTTTTCCGCTCTTCTTCTCTTTGTTTCTGAAACCAACGTCTTGCTCAAATATGCATATTAAAATCGCCGAAAAAGAATACTGCGTTTTGTTCGAAAACACAAATACTGAAAAGATGTGCGGATTAAAAGAAAATGTATGTAAAATTAATGGCACTTTAAACACGTGTATGATGTATTCTAAATATTTGCATTTAATCCAACTTACGTCCGTTTGCTTCAACGTGAAACGCCCGCCTTTAATTTGATTGATAATATCGTCGATAGCTGAAAATGAATGCATACGATATCGCAGTGTATAACTTTCATACGTTTACAATAAAACAAAATAATTGAAAAGGCCAATAAAACAATGGATTGTACAATTACCGGGTTGTTGGGCGACCGCGGGGGTTTTTCTCGGCGCAATGCCGAGCATATTTTCCATATCGCTTACAGCCGAGGTCAATTTTTCTTTAGTCAGCAATTTTATCGACGACTGACCAATCGTCGACACCGGCGGTGGGGGAGGGGGTGGCGGTGGCGGTGGCGGTTTCGAAACTTTCTCCTCTAACTCGCTGATTTTCTGTTTTAAGCAACGCACGACGTTCTCCAGCTCCTCCGCCGATTTCTCAGCCCTTTCGGCTCTCTGAACAACTACTTCTAATTCAGACTCCGCGAACTTTAACTTCTCCTCGACAATCTCAAATTCTACATTCGATTCTTTTTCCTCTAACTTTTCCTGTAATATCTGCACTTGAGAAGCATGACTTTGCTGCTCCTCCTCCAGTTGCCTCTTTAGGGATTCCACCTCTTGCAAAACGGCTAACAATCTCCCATTCGGGTCGTCTCCCACCTCAGCCATAAGAAGAGCGCTTTGGTGCGCCAAGACATTTCGTTCTTTCTGGACCTAAACGAGCACTCGACCAATCAGTACGATATATAAGAGTGACTTTAGATACAATCTTTAATGCACTTGGACTTTGAAATATTCCTTTTTGATTTTTTTCTATCGCACGTGCCGTTTGACAAAATATAATCTTAAACAATATGAATAATTTTTAAGTGAAATCGTGTGTTCACGTAATTAAATCGAAGACGCACCCTCTCAGCTTCCATCCTTAGAATTTTCGCACTTTCCCTCTCGCGATCGCATTGCGTCTTCAGAGTCTGCACCTCCTCGGTCACCATTTTCGTGACTCTTTCCATGTTCTCCTTGTGTACTTTCATCTCATTAATTTTGCCCTCACCTGCAGACAGACATTCGGTCAGCGTTTACCGCGTCTTACCTACCGTGAGGATTTAACGGGAGATTTTGTTTCACCTTTTTGTCGGAGGACCCTTTCCTCCTCCAGCTGCGTGGTCAGCTGCGTCACCTGCTCCTGCGCCTCGAATTCCTGAAGCCGGGCGGAATGAAGTTCCGTTTGTAGTCGCGCTATTTCGCCACTCAGGTCTGAAAACGGATGTTTCAATTAAGACTTTGTTTCATTGTCATTTGTCTCATTCTGCCAACTTTGTTTAACGCAACCGCATTTTAATCGCGAATCTCGCGGAACCAAGTACCGCTCGAACCGAACAAAATCAGTCGCACCGACCTTTCACAGTTTGCCTAAGCTGCTCCAAATCATCAAAATTTGTGTCCACTTCATCGGACACGTCGAAGTGCAGCGACTCGTCCGGATTGCTGTGTAGAAGCTTCTGCGCTACGATTTGAGACCTTCGCTTCAGCTCGCGGTTTTGTCGGTACCACTATACAATAAAATCCTTTTAGAACAATATATATTGTACATTCCATCTCACTTAATCGACATAATTCTTTTGTGTGTACGAATTATTATAGATGATATGTAAATTATGACAGATCGGTCTACTACCGGGAAAAACCTGGGAACGTGTAATTCTCAGGGAATTCTTTCTTTCGTCTCGGAAATCAGGGAAATTGTGTCGAAATTATCTCCTCATTTTGTATCTCGCGAACAGTCGAAAGTTAATCGAACGACCAAGTTGAGAAAGTTAGTGAAACTTATAAATGTGTTTGGGAAGTGAACTATAATGCTCCGAGCTTCACTCTGTTTAAAAATTTTATTGTCTTTGAAATGGAAGTGCCCACTAATGCCCAGTGGGCATTACTTTATCTTATTATCTTACTTTATCTTTATAATGCCCTAGTAATGCCCAGTTTCCCCCTCGATCGACATTTTAAGTGAATGTTTTGTAAAACTACCATTTTTCTCGTTTGAAAAATTTTATAACTTCTTTATGATTGTGCGAATAAGATACACACTGTGAACAAGACAAGAATAATCTTACGCGATAATTAAATTTATTTTAAATTTGTAGCGAAAACTTTTGCCTGGAAGTTTCAATGAAAATACTTGGAAAATCAGGGAATTTGTTTTCAAAGAATGAGAAGACGGGCAGATCGTTACCTGAGAAGCTTGTTGCATAGCTTTGTGCATCGCGTTCGTTTCCACGTCATACTGATGTTTTAATTGTTCGTATTCCTTACACACCGCTTCGGAAACTGCGGGAGGGATATAAGAATTTAATAACTTTAGAGGAGATTCGTTATGAAGTGAAGCTTCAAGTTCCAGCGAGAAATGACTCGTCCATCGACATCGACGCCGTCAAATTGACGTCGATTCGACATCGATCGACGAATCACTTCTCACTGGGGTACGCCCTTCAGATACGCACCCGTTCGTAACTTCAGCAACTTCTGGTCCTTCTCTTGAACTTGCGACTGCAGCAAGCCATTTTCCCTCTGCAGTTGCTGAAATTTTTTCTCTAAATCCACGTGTTCCTTATTCGCTGCAAAAGATGTTCAATTAGGTACAACACTTAGAATGTAATTCGCTATCGTCAACTATTTTAAGGCATCTTTCTAGTTATTACATTTATAGAACGGCACACGGATGTGCGTGGGTAAAATGAGTCAGAAATCAAACACCGATTGAGTCGACAATCAGATTAAGGTCACATAATCCGTGGAACTATTGAGAAATGATTGATGACGTCATCGTTCATTTCTAAAAAAAGTTTGCATTATAGAACAAAATATAATTCTAGCGATGATGGAGCATAGTCTTTTATTCGGCAAACAACTCGAGGAGCAAAAAGTTGCACTACGCTTACATATTGTACACGCGTTGAAAGTTGCGTTTCTCTAACGTATCGCAAAGTTCTGACTGGCATATTGTCCTATCGTCGCTTCGCTTTTCCTTTTTAACGCCGCATTCCAAATATTATTTTTAAATATCCTTGATGAGACTCTGACGCGTCGCGTTACATTACGCACGAATTGCCTGCTTAATTATGAATCGCATTCGAGGGACTTTGAGAAAACTTTTCGAACGTCTCGCCTCCGCGATGCGGCCAGCAGTTTGCTCTTTAGACGCCCGCACGCCCTTTTCGCGTAAACTCGATCGACCAGCTGCTCGTCCGTTAATCGATACGACAAACCGAGAATGTAGATCCCGCGAGTAGCTCCAGTAACATTCCGTTTCCGTAGCTTATAATTCCATCGTGTATAAACAGTGTGACTAATGGAGCGTCATTGCCTTCATTTTACATGCAGGAGTGAATCACGACGTGATAATCGACCACACGACATTCTCGATTGTCCCTGAATTGTGCGGCGAACGCGCTTTCCATTATTTATGAACTTTCCGACCCATTTGATCGGCTTATCATGCCCCGATACCGAAGGAACTTTCGAAACAAGAGCGGTCTTGTTTCCGATATTCAAGTACAGATGTATATGAATCATTTTATAAACAGCCTGAGGAGTGTATTCTGAAAGAAAATTTTTACTCTACAAGCTCTGCAGCTATTTAGCTTTCTCCTTTTCGCTCTTTCTCTCGTGTGCTACAGAGATACAGCGTTGTAAAGCATTGTTACACAGAATAGACCCTAAGTCACTTTCCTCGCTTCAAGAAATATGATTTATTCGAAGTAATCAGATCGATATAAAATCGCTGTCTATGTGTCAAATCTTTTGAGATGTTAATTCGATAGAAGGCAAAGGTTGAACTTTAAATATAGTATAGTTAACTTGTTATACAAAAATGACGAGCACGCAGGATAGTGAACTCATATTAAGGCTTAGGGTTTAAATCATCTAGTGTAGACTGGGACTAACGTTGCTTAAATTTGAACGTGGCTGCTTACGTTTTCGATCGTGATTAGTCGCTTCTTTCTTAAGCCTATCACACAATGCCAGGCAATAATAGGAATAGGGAATAGAATTTTGATGCGTTGGATTCGTTGGAAATTTACTTCCAACCAATCCAACGCGTCCGAAATTCTATTCCCTGTTCCTATTGCCCGTTGCCTGGCATTGTGTTTGGGCCTTTAAGCTTACCGCTTGAGTGTTTTCATGTATCATCGCCCTAAGATGTGTGTTTAGGGCCTGAGCAGAATGGCTGTCTTGTACTCTAACCCCTGGTCCACAATCTTGCTTCAAGTATAGCCAGCGGCACACGATGCTACTTTTCCTGCTTACAAGAGCCAATCAGGATTTAGCCTTAAATCATCTGATCGAAAACTCTGCATCCTGATTGGCTCCTGTTTAGTAAGCAACCCAGTAGGAAATATAGTATCGTGTACCGTTGGCTTAAGACTTAAGACAGTTAAGCCCGCTGCAGACGATGCTATTTTTCCTGCTGGATTGCTTGCAATTTAGTAAATTACTAGGAATCCTGAATGCTGAGTGGTGCAATGATAGTAATTTACTAAATTGCAAGCAATCCAGCAGAAAAAATAGCATCGTCTGCAGCGGGCTTTATTGTGCGTTACCTCAAGACAAAAGCGGGGAGCACGCCCTTTTGCATAAGTGCATAAGCATATGCATAACGAATTTGATCGGTCCATTTCCTTGTACAGTTGCTTATAGACCAATCAAATTCGTTATGCATATGCTTATACACTTATGCAAAAGTGTGTGTTCCCCGCTAAAGGCTTCAAACATACGTTCTCTTTCGTTCGCATGTAAACAAGACAGCACAAAACAAGATGGCACAAAACAGAGTTTGTCCTTTTCTACGTAACCTCTACCCCCACTGCTCAAATAATGGCAAACGCTCGTTCTAGACACATTATGTCTATGCTTAAGGCTGTCTTAAAGGTATAAGATAGCCATTCTGCTCAGGCCCTTACTTATCGGTGAGTTCAAGATTATGGCAACTGGCCATTATCTAACGTACGTTGTCAAACGGTCGTAATCTAGGGTTCACGTTGACTCCACTGTCGCGTCCATTGACGCTTCTAATTGATAATTACCAGTCTCGCTCTTCTGCAGCAGGTGTTTCCGCCTCTTCTCCGAATCCTCGTACTTGCCCTTCCACTTGCTCTCCAAGAAGCTGTTACTCCTGTTGAGCCTGACGACGTCGTTCGTCTTGCAACCGCTCGCCGGCGTCGTCTTTTCCTCCGATTTTCGCATTTCGAGACTGGGGGCCGACAGTTGATTGTTGTTGCGCGGCCTCAGCTGTACGACTGAAGCCTCGAGCTTCTCGAAGGACGCTCTCTGGGCTGCCACGTTGCCCGTGCCGCGGCCAAGCTTCTCGAAGGATCCTCTGCGTTTCGGAGGACATCTCTCTTGTGCCTTGATCGCGGCCGATATTCTCGGCACCGGAATGTGAGAGTGAATCACGTTCGGGGACGTCCTCGGCGGCTCCGTGCTCAGGACAATGTTGAATTCCGTCCTATTCATGGTGCCTGTGAAAATGAGCACGGTTATTGTCTCGTTTATCGAAAGCTTTGTTAGCGATAATGACGGAGTTGACCATTTCCTGGTCGAAGTATTTTTTTTCTGAGTACAGCAGACCCTCGATTTACAGCGGAACTAACTGAGATGAAAGGACGTCCGTTGATACCGAAACTCTGTTACGTCGAATTTTACCATTTTTTATAACTTTTAATGTAACAGGAGCTTTAATACGGCACTGCCCGATATAAAATGCTCAATTTTCTCACATTTCTGCACCACGTGCCGAGTTGAAACATTTTCTTCTGACTTCTTTCTCATTTCTTGGTGCCATTCCGAATTGCGAGAATTGAGAAATTATTTAATAAATAAAGTCGCAATTTAGAAATCGCAGAAGTACTCTATACGTGACTGTATGATATTACACCTTGAGGCAGACCGAAACAAAGCGAGTCTGCCCTATGCTTTCAATACCAAATGCGATATGAAATGCGCACAATGAGCATTATTAATTATTCGATAAATGCGACAGCCGTTGAACCGAGATTTTACGTAATGCATTAGTTAGGTGAAAAATTTCGAGTACGTGTAGTCAGTGCGTAGTAAATTATCGTTATTATCGTCGTCGTTGCTATTATTGAAGTCATTGAAACAAGAGAATATCGGCACGTAATATCGAACTTCGTTTCGCGTAATTTCGCGGATGAACGCGGCTTCGTTACGATATCAAACGCGTTATATTGATTCCGATAAGTACGCGAATGTATCTTCGTTAAGAAATTCTTGTTCGACAAGTGTTTTGGACGGAGACATTCCTGAAATACACGCGTTTCATTTGCGTACATAAATTCTTTACGAACAACGTCATCGTTAATTCATTAAGTTGCACAATCGATGTCTGCAAAATAACGACCCCGCTTGAAATAATAGAGTGCGATCGGATTGCACGTAATCCAATGTAATCTCGATCATATTCCATCTAATATCTTAAACAGGGGGGAGTTTACGATTTGATTTCTTCCACGATCCGCGATCGATGAATTCAAGATCCAAGAAACGTTTACGTACTCAAATGTACCTATATCGCCGCTCGTTATCTACGGGAAAGATTAATAACATTGGACATTTCTAAAAATAAGCACATTGGTCTCGCCTTCGGGAGTCAAGTTCGGAATAGCTGACGTGTTAAAATATTCTCGCACGCCTAATCCCGATTACTTTACGAACCTTACAAATTTAATTCTCAACTATTGTTATGCCATACTATTGAGTCTAGACCGATACTCAATTCAATTTAAAATAATTCGTAGGGAGAGAAAAGTATCACATTATCTATAACGTAAAGATCATCGAACTGATAAGACCGTATTACTGCGCTGAACTTAAAAACTCAAATGATTGTTGCAATTATTGCGATTAGGTATCCGCATTTGTTCTCACGACATCGCGGCTTTTGGCGGAAAGTTATTGGAGTAGCTCGCGATAAGTTCCGTCATATGTGCAACGCACGCGTTCATTCACGCCGCGAAACCCGCGTTCCCGGAACGGAGGTTCGTGCGTTTCTAAAATAGGACTCCTCCTGAGGTTTACCCGAGAGTTAGGTTTAGACGCACGTGCTGAGCTTCGCGGGAGCGAGGGCAAACAGCTCTCCCGCGGGCCATTTAAAGTTAATTCGTCGGAATGCGCGTCTGCGTCGGGACCCGCGATCGTTAAACCGACGTCGGCCGGAGGGTCGAACGGTTTCTGGCCGCTTTCCCCGATGTTAAAAAGTCCGCCAGGTGCGATCGGCTTCCGTTAACGCCGGGCGTAAATTGCCGTCCCGACTTCCGCCGGGCGCCAACGTCCCCCGGCCTCGCCGGGGCGCGAGGGCCGTGGGCCTCGCCAAAATTCAGCCGGCCGAAAAATCGAGACGCCTCGGCAAGAATACGCGATCCTCACCGACACATTCAAGATGTCAATCAGCCCTCTTCATTTGCATTCGAGTGCGTGCCTGAAGCCGGGAAAGGCGTTCCAGTGCCGAAATCGATAAACCGGGGCGTATTCTCGAAGCGTGTTCAAAATATGGAAACACGTTGCGCGCGAGCGAAAATACGTACGAGTACTTGGTACTTAATAAATTATCCGAGTGAGGGATATTCGTAAAAGGCTGCGGCGATTTAACCTCGACCGCAGACGTGGTCTGTTGATTGCTATCGTTTCATTAGAATTCAATATGGTGATTTGTGAGGAAATGGTGTTTTACTTTATCCGAAAGATCTCAAGGCAAATAACTAACCGATTATTACATTAATATAGATCTATTCTACTTAAATTTGTATATACATGTGTACACGGGGGGAGAATTTTCTTTTAAAATCTACCCTGAAAATCATGTAATCGTGGGACACCGTGGCAAGAATTTTATGAGAGTTTTTTGAAATGTTATCATAGATTTTACTAGAAATTATACTCGGTACACATTTTACTAAAATGTATGGTAAAATTGTCAAAAATTCTTCTAAAGCTCTTCAAGATGCCGTGTTGTCTTACGATTACATGGTTTTCAGGGTTAAGAGAAAATTCTCTCCGTGTATGTCTACACATATACTTTATTTAAAGCGGGAGAGAGTTAATTTAGAACAGAATGATTGTATAGTCTCTCTTTGCCTCGCCTTCGCTGCAACTAGTACAACCAGTGTTCATCGATCGTTGCACTATATCAATTTTACGTATATACATTTCTATACACGTGCACGACATAAATACCGGTGTGCATATTCGACGTCATGCATTAGCGAGCAGCGAGCCAAGTGTCCGATAAAATCCGAATGATAAGGCACGGACTAATTGTAAGTTTACACGACTTGTACCGCGAAAATGTAGAAGATAGTGCCGAGCAAAGCACCTCTACAAGTGAATCGCTCATAATTGACGGAACTCTCGACTAGTCGAGAATCCCTGAAACGTGCGTCGCGTCGCGAACGTTTGCCAGAAAGTGACTGTGACGATTCGTTGTTAATTTACTTGAACATCGTCAATTAGATTAAGGCCCGGTTTCACCGACGTTGTTTAACTTTAAACTTAGCTCAATTCATGCTTTGTCTCCTCTTAACTGATACTTTAGAACGAGACAAACTTGACCTCTGTGAAGTTGGCACCTCATGTCTCAAAAAATAATTTTTTTTTTACAGTTCTGAATGCACCCCGAAGAGTTCTAGAGTTCCTTATAAATTTTAAACATAGTTCTGGCGAATTAACCTAAAAAAGTTAAATTTGAAACTT